AGTCCTCTTCTTCCTCTTCAGGTCTCCTTTCTATCTTGGCACTAGTCCTCAGATGAGCACCAGGCTGATTCCGTTCAGCTGGTGCTACAAGTTGACCACCACTATGCATTACCATTGTGAAATTTACCAGTTATCGATCCACCACAGTGATCATCAAATGTTTCTACCCGGGTCTTCAAATCTTGGTGCTAAGATGCTAAGTCAAAAATAATTTAGAGGCTGGGGTGGAGCTCAGTGGTACAGTGTGTGGTTAGAGTGAGAACTCTGTAGAGTCTCCAGCACTGTGAGGAAATAAAGTAATTTAGGATTGCTTCCAGGGACTGTGGCAGGGTCAAATAGTGAGAGTAATCCAGGTGTGGTGGCACAGGACTGAGGCAGGAGGAGCACCATGGTTTCAAGGTCAGCCTGATCTACATATTGAGTTCGAGGCCAGTCTGGAGCACATAGCTAGAAAAAAAAAAAAATCAACCAACCAAATAAAGACCAATGCATGTCCAGCTGTGTTGTGTCGGGCAGGCTCTTCTGTCCTATATCAATAGAGAAGCAAATTCTTTTCTGGGCCTGAATTAACTAGGATTCCTCTGTCAATTAAAGTACTGACAAAAGGCTTCATTTGGATTCCAACTATCAGTTTGTTATTGTCAGGTAGGCTGAGTAACAAGTAGTCCCATGATTTTAGTAGCACTCAGCAGTAAACATTTTATTTTTGTTCACATCTCTTTGGTTCTCCTGTGGTTTGGCAGATGAAAGCTGGGATTAGCTGGCCTTGATGCTGGGCTATAAATTGGGCCAGGTTTGTTCCACATGTTTCTCATCTCCCTTGGACCAGCAGACTATTCCTTTCATGGGATGTTTTTACTGTTCAGTACTAAAGATGGAATCCAGGGACTCGTGCATACCAGGCAAGTGCTGTACCACTGAGCCACTTCTGCAAGCCCTGTCATGGGCCATTTGAACAGCAAGAGAGAGCAGGTTCATTGTGGCAAAGTACATTTCACACCTCCACATCCGAAGACATCCTCCTGGTCAAAGCAAGTCAAGTCACGTGATTATGCTCTTCGTCAAGGACACGGATGCATGATTTCACTACAAAGGTGTGAACAAGCAGGATTCAATCTAACATCCCCCCTCGCTGGCGATTGAGCCAGGGTCTTCACACTGAGCTCTTTTCCTAGCCTTTTAAAATTTTTTCTAAATTGTATTTTGAAATAAGGTCTTGCTAAATGGCACCAGACTGGGCTCAAATTGTGTCCTGCTTTTAAAAACTGTTTGTCCCCCCCCCCCGCCCCCCACCGGTGTCTCCCAGACAGTAGCTTTCTTTCTCTCAATAAATATATTTTGCTCTTTAAAAAAAGCCAGAAACTGTTTTTTGAGACAGGGTCTTGCCACATAGCTCGACTGCCCTCGAACTTGCCATCCTCCTACCTCTGCCTCTTGGAAAATAGTTTTCCAAATTGGCAAAGCACTTAATGAATCCCATAGAACATCATCCGATTTTACAGTTATTAACATTTCCCTGCATTGGTGTGATCTATCTCTTTTTTTCTTGGTAAAGTATTTGTTAAACTTGTCCTATTGCGGCGAAATGTGCATAATGAAATTTCCCACTCTAACCAATTTTCAACTGTGCCATTCAGTGGCAGCGAGTAACTCACACTGTTGTGCAACCAGCACGGCATCCGGCCCCTGAACGTTTGTGCATTTTTTTATTCTTTGTGTATGTGTGTGCCTGTGGTCATTTTGAGCCCAGGCTGGGCCACGAACTGACTGATCCGCCTGCCTCAGCCTCCCAGTGCTAGGATTACAGTTGTGCACCACCACACCTGGGTTCCCAAGCTTTTTAGTCTTCCCACTGCAACTCTGTCTCCTCTTAGTGCAGCCCCCAGGCCTCTGCACCCTTCTTCCTGTCTGAGGCTGATTAGCAGAGGACCTCTTAGAAGAGGAATTAGACAGCTTTTTTCCTGTAGCAACTAGCTTGCTTTTCTCTCTCTCTCGTCTTTTTTTCTCTGTTCTTTCTTTCATCCTCTCTTTTCCCTTTCTCCTCCTCCTTTCCTCTTTCCCTCCTCCTCCTTCCTCTCTCACAGTCCCTCTCCTTCCTCATACCTTGCTCTCTCACTCTTTTGTTCCTCTCTCCCTCTCTCCTTCCCTGCTTTTGTGCAGTACTGGGGACTGAACCCAGGACTTGCACACTGACCCGCATCCCCCGCCCCTTTGGTTTTCTTTCTAACTTTGGAGGCAGAATCTCACCAAGTCGCCAGGTTGTCCATGCCTGCCTCAAATTTGTGATGTTTCTGCCTCAGCTTCCCTGAGTGCTGGGATTTGCAGGTATGCACCACCGTGCCTGGCTGCAACAGACTTATTTTCAAGAGTCGAGGATTCCTGTGTTACACTGCATGTCAACATTCCCTTCTTCTTGAACTCTCTATCCAATTCCACGGCAGGGATGGCCACATTTTACGAATTCCCCCCCCTGCAGACTCTGGTGGCTTCCACCATTAGGGGCACAGTGTTCCATGACGTGGGCGTGCACCTGTCTCTTAGAGGCCCTGCCTTTAGTCTTTCTGGTGTGCAGCCGAGGTGGCACTGCTGTATCTACTGGTGGCTGTGCGGTGGTTTGTAGAGGAAATTCCTCACTGTCCACCCCAGGGACAGCATTTCTCTCACCCACGGCGAGAACGAGAGGGCTCGGATTTCTCCACATCCTCACCAGCACTTCTTGTTTTTTGTAGTTGTTTTGGTTTTTCTTTTTAGTGACAGCTGTCCCCATGGGTGTGACGTGGTGTGGTGTCTTGTTGTGGTTTTGATTTGCATGTGAGTCTCCTTTTGACCTCAGCTGATCTGGACGGGTTTCTGTTTCTCGTAACTGGTACTAGTTAGGGTAGGGTTAGCAGCTGGCAGCGGTAGCTGTGGTTTGTGAGAAAATGATTTCTCTTCTGTCACAGCCCCGGGTGGGGGCAGGGACCAGGTGATGGCGGCTCTGCCTGGAGTCTCAAGGTCCCTCCTCTGGTCGCCACCTCGGCCCTCAGGAAGGAGAAAGTCACCCTGAGGAGCACTTGCAGGAACTGACAGCCAGGATGGAACTTTCTGGTCACATCCCACAGGGGAATTAAGCCAGGGCCACACCCTACTGTGGAGGGGCTGGGACCCAATCCCTGCTGGGCAGCCCTGCCCCTCCCTACCTTTTGGAGAACTGTGGACATGGGTGGGCAGTCACAGTCCCCTGATGCAGCTTGGACACTTCCACCCGGTAACCCAGCCACATCTTCCACACTCTTCCATTCCTTGTGTCCTACATGCTCCAGAAACCCCAGGAGGACCAAGGGCCCACGGGAACTTAAGTGGCTGCTGGGAGGATGCCTCCCACAGGCCCCAAAACAATGGCACCAACAATCATGGACTAGAACTTGCAAAACTGGGAGCCAACAGAAACCTTTTCTCTTTGCAAGTCCTTTGCAAGCCTGTTTGCATTGTCGCAGGCATTTCGTTCCAGTGACTCTTAACTAACACAGACATGTTCAGATCCCAGACACTAGAAACTGCAAATGAGGATTTTTTTTAAGAGAAAAAGGCCTTTGCAGATGTAATTAACATGATATGAGTGAGCAGGTATGGGGGTGCAGGAAGAGGACGAGGCCCTAGGTGGGGGTGTGCTTGTGGGAGGCACAGTGGGGCTAAAGGGTGAGGGACCAAGGTAATAAATATGTCCGTTTCTTCCCTCCCTCCCTCCCTTCCTCCTTCTTTCCCATCTCCTCTCTCTCCGTTGCTCCCTCCACTCTTCCCTTCCTCCCTGTCCCCCTCCCTCTCCCTTTTCTCTCTCTTCTCTTTCTTTAGTCAGCATTTCCGAGCTCCCACCCTGGGCTCAGCACCTCACCAGCTGCTCCTTACCTGCCCTGTTATTGTCCAGTGCAGGTGGAGAACACGGGCACCCACAGGCCAGTTGTGGCCTGAGAGGGAGCACACGACAATCCCATGGCCGGGGCCCAGGGCCCACTGCCCGCCCCTGACCACAGGGCTGGCGGGGTGGGGTGTGTTGCTCATAAGGAGAGGGCTGGGTCTTCCCAGCTCTCTGAACAGTGTCGTTGTCCCTTTCTGTCCCCAGTCCCCAGCATCCGGCCCTCGCCCTGGGTCTTGTAATGGGTCTGTCTGCCCGGCCATGTACTCCAGCACGAGCAAAGCCAACGGTGTCCACCTCCTAATTTTCAGTGCCTGGCCCTAAGTCACAGCCCGTGCTAGCTGGCCTTGCCTCAGTCCCCCTCTGGGCCCCTCCTCCCCTAGCTGAAGCGTGCCCTGGCTGCCTCTGGGCTCCCCTCCATTCCATCAAGGCCTCAGCAGTGCTGTGGATGCTCCCCAGGTGCTGAATGAGTGACCGTGTGACTGAGTAGACACAGTGGTGTGGCCTGCAGGTACCTCCACTGACCCTCTGTGGGTCTTTGTTGTGTCCACAGCAGTTCATTAGACAGGAGCTCACCCTGGGGACCCAAGGTTGTTGGTTCTCAGCCTGACATCCTAAACAAGGGGACCCAGCCAGCTCTGTGGGGATCCTGTTCCAGCCTGGGGCCAGTTTGGTGTGCCCATGGGTGCTGGCTGCCTGCTGGGCTCTCCCAGTCTGGTCCCATCCCCTCCTGACAGCAGCGCCCAGAGGGAAAGGGTGATGTGTCCAGAGGCACCTGCAGGGCCACATGGTCACTGCCTGGGCAAGCCTGCACCCTTCCAGTGCCCCAGATCACTGGTGTGAGGAGAAGCCTGAGTCCACATGGCTCCGGGGGATGGGCCACCTGGGCTGGTGGCTTCATGGAAGGGGGAGCTTCGAGCCCAAAAGGGCTGCTGCAGCACCTTTAAATAAGCTTCCTCCCTTCTAGGAAGAGGGTGGAGAGGGAAGTCCCCCCCCAATACCCCTCACATGCCTTTGGGTGTGGGCCTGTTAGGCACCCTCCCCCCAGGAAACCCTTAGGCAGAGGCCCTGAGGCAGGGGGCAGAGCCAGCCGGCAGGCACTGCCACCCCTTGCTACCCCTTCCTTGGGCCAGGAGACCACCTGGGTGGGGCGCTGCGTGGGGGCCCAGGCTGGGGCTGCGGGCACAGCTGTGCGTGTGGGTCAGTGGAGGGCCCCCGGGAAGGGACTTCCCAGCAGGCGGCTCTGCAAGACCCCAGGAGGTTTCCTCGCTTCCAGTAAAGCCGGGGTAAGGGGTGGGGGAGGCGCTGCCCCAGGTGCCAGCTTCTGCCTGCAGGCAGCCCAGCCCCCTGGGCCTCCCGCCCGCTGGCTCCCTGCCTCCTCTTCTATCCCTGGCTCTGCCCCTTGTGCCCCTTCCCCTGCAGATTGGGCCTTGACTCTCCTCAGGGCCGCAGGACTCAGCCCGGAAGGCACAGAGCCACTGCAGTTTCTCCTAGTGACAACTGGGAAGAGGGTCACAGGCCAGTGTCTCCAAGCAGGGGGGACACAGCCTGCTTTGGGGCGGCACACGAAGACCCCTCCCAACCTGGCTGCCAGCCCATACACCTTCCTGGCTGTGCACACTGCGTGTCCTGCAGGCCCACTGGCCCTGCTCACTGGAGCTGCTGCCATGCCCTGGGTGGCCCAGGCACCCTGAGGAGACCCCTTTCAGAGGGTCTGCTGGCTGGCATGAGGGGGTGCACTCTTCCCGGGCACGGGTCCAGGGCTGCAGAACCAGCCTTCACCTCCATGACAGTGACATCTGTCTTTCTCTCCAGCTCCATCTCACTCTGCTCCGAGTGCAGGGCCTGCTCAGGCTGCGGGTAGTGCTTGTCCCCTTCCACAGTCACTGAGGTGCAGGGAGCAGAGGCCTGGGCCGGGGAAGTGGCTGGGTAGGATGGGTGCTGTGGCTGCAGGTGACCAGCCTTTTGCAAAACAGTGAGGAACACAGCTGGGAACCAGACCCTGTGATATGGGTTAAAACTGCTGGTCAGCTGAACACCAGCTGAATTAAGTCAGCACGGTGCTGAGCGTAGACGGCCCACCTGAGGAAAGTTGCCGGCATAAATAGAGATGTGGAGAAGACGGGAGAGGCATTGTGGGTTTCTCTAAGTGTTGCTGTTTGAGCCCTTGGTTCTCCTGGGTCATGACTGGCTTCCCCAGCGTGAGTTCGACCATTGTCATTGGAGGAGCTCGGGACCTGGTTGGTGAGGGCAGCTGAGGTTCACTTTAGGGGAGCTCTGGTCCTTTCTTTCATCAAGCATCACTTCCTGGCTCTGGAGGGGAAGACGGTATGCTGTTTAATCTTGTTACGCTGGCTTCCTGACATGTACTCAACTGTTCTTACTACCATCGGAGGAGCTCAGGACCTCCGTGTCACTGAGGATGGCTGTGGTACTTTTCAGGGCAGCTCTGGTTTTTGAGTGTTGTTTCTTGGCTCCAGTGGAGAATCCTAAACCTACTGGCACAGCTCCTTCACCCCGCTGGCACAGACTTTCTAGCTTCCACCGCTGACCTCTGGGCCTTCCCAGCAGGGAATCCGTAAAACAGACTGGTGTGAGTCCTTGTCGTGGGCTCTCGACCTCCAGTTGGGCTCGTGGGAGGTATTGTCATGAACTCTGGGTCTTCAGCTGGACTCATGCAGGACATTGCTGTGGGATCCAGGTCTTTGGCTGAATATTCTGAGTCTTTAGTGTTGTGGACAGATTTCCTGCACTTCCTTGTGTTTAACTCTGGGTGACCATCATAAAATAATATTATAAATTCTGTGTCCTGATTCTAATTGTTCTCCTTACAGCCCCTGACTGTGACACCCTGCCCCACTCTCTGTGCCCAGAGCTCCATTCTTGCCCTATCTCAGCCAGTCTCCCAGGTCCCCAAGGATGACATCAGTTTTGCCCTACTCAGGCACCATCACCCCTGTACTCCACTTCCAAGCCCACGGCGAAGTCTCCCAAGAGACCTCCTGGCTCCAGACACTCAGACTAGGGATGCAGAAACAGCCTTGTCTGATTTTTGTCTCCCCTCGTTCCCTGCAGCAAAAGGAGTGGGTGGAGAGGTCGCAGGTGAAACTTTGGAACAAATTGGAAAGGTCTTTATGCACAACCATCATGAAAATCACATGCTGATGAGACCCGCCCCAACCAGGGGGCTGGTGGCTCCAAGCCTGCAATCCCCAGCAGCACCAATGGGGACGAGGGCTGAGGAGGGAGGTGGACTCAGGTGTGCCAGGACCATCCCTGGGGGTGGGGTGGGGTGGGGTGGGGTAGGCAAGGGGATGTACCCCCTTTGGGTGGCTCCAGTTGTAGTGTAGGCGGTGAGAGCCACACCTGGATGCTGGCATTGCTAATACCAAAGCAACCAGCTCCTTGTCACCCATCCGTGTTCCTGTGTTTAGTTGGCAAAGATTCTGCTGGAGCCTTTGGTGGGCCTGCTGACCCAGCAGGACAAAGTGCCCATCCCGTGGGGCTAAAGCTCCTAGCGACAGAGCAAAGACTCCTGGGGAGGAGGAAGAAAGGAGGAAACAAGAGTGGTCAGGGCAGAGTCCTGGGGAGAAGGGCCGGGCCTCTCTGGAGACTGGCAGAGTGAATATTCCAGAAACTTCTTGTGCATTCCAGCGGAGGGGAAGGGAAGACAGTGGGAGGAGCATGGGAGATGGGGTAGAGAGAGCCCGGGCGGCAGAGCGGGGGTCGTGGTGGGAGCCAGGAGAGCACGGAGCCGGACTGAGTCCCCAGGCAGAAGCGGCTTTGACTCAGGGGCCAGTGGAGGTGCTGAGAAGCAGCTGGCTCGGGGTGTACTTTTCGGATACCGTCACCTCCCTCTTACTTGCATGAAGGAAAAGCAGAGACCTGCATGTTTGTGTTTAGGGCCAGGAGCCTGCTGCCCTCTGAAATGGGGACAGGCGGGAGGGCTCTGGGCGCTGTGCAGTGCGGGTTTGCTCGGCTCACCGAGGCCCTTCAGTGCAGAACCCACGGCCACCACCAAAGGCAACAACACCTGCTTCGTGGTGACAGGGATGACCTCACCCGTGGGGCCTCCTGGGCTCAAACTTACCCTGGAAGTTCCCTCTCCTGACTCCATCCTGTCCTTGACCCGGTCCAGCTCTGCAGGTGGCTTTTCTGGCAGCAGTGGAAGAATGAGTGTCCCAGTTAGTGGTGATCAAAACTGCTCATTCTAAGGGCCCTGCGGCTGACCCCCTCGGGTGACCAGGGATGGGGTAGGGGTGGCGGGATACCAGGCCACCTGCACAGTTAACATTAAGTGCATGGGACGCTGCAGCTACTGCCCTCTGCGTAGCCTCCCTCGAGTCCTGGGGGAAGAATCTGAGCCCTTGGCTCCCTACGTCCATGCTTCTCTGTCCAGCGTGGTCACCATGCCGCCCCCTTCCTGTCACAGCTGCAAGGCTGAAGTGAATGTGGGTGTGAATCCCTGCTTGCAGCATACCTCTTAGTCCGCCAATGCTGCGGAGCACCCCAGAGTGCTCGTCTGCTTCTGGGGAGTCCCTAGCTTGGGTACCCAGCTGAAAAGGTGGGAGGTCCAGTCATGGGGCATCTCCTCAAAGGGGACAGTAGGCTCCCCCTACTGCCTTTCTCTCTTGTATCCTGGTAGAGTTGAGAGCAGCTTTCCACAACAGAGTGCTGTAAATCTGTGGGCCGAAATAAACCAGTTTGCTCTGCAAGCCCATTATCCCAGTGATTTTCACAGCAGTGGAGTTTCCCCTCTGACAGGTGGCGAACACCTGTCATCCCAGGACTCAGGAGGCTGAGGCAGGAGGATCGCTGTGAGCTGGGCTACACAGGGAGTTCAGGCCTGCCTGAACTACACAGCAAGCCCTGTCTCAAAGTAATAGAGCGCTAACTAATGCAGGCAGGGACACAGAGAAACTAAATGCTAGCAAACTTGAGAGCTGACTGCTTTATCACCAGATGTCCCCCAGGGTCCCACTGTCTATCTTCAGAGGTCACTTCTGGGGGCTTTTTTTTTCTGTGCCAGGGATTGGACCTCGGGCCTTTGCGTTGAGGTACATGCCAGGTGCTCACCGTCAGGGGTGAGCTGCTTCTGGGGAGGCCTGGGCAGCCTGCAAGGGGTGGGTGGCATACAGCCCAAACCCGGCCTGCTACCTGTGCCAATGAGGCCCACAAAGAACGATTTGTAAATGGTTGGAAAACAAATTGGAAGGAAAACGTTATTTCCTGACCTGGGAGAAATGTGTGGGATCTCAGCTTCGGCGTCGTCCGTGGATAGTGTGCTCCTGGAACCCAGCACCGGGTTTGGGAACTGTTGGGGGCAGGTCTCTCACTACGGGAATGAAACCCAAATACCAAGCACTCCCCGCTCACCCTGCACTTTGTGTCTGTGGTACTGGAGCCTGAACCTAGGACCCTTCACCAAGTTTCAGCCTCTGCCTCTTTTTTTACTTTTTGAGACAGGATTTCACTAAGGACCTAAGTGGCCCAGGCTGACCTTGAATTTGTGATCCTCCTGCTTCAGCCTTCTAGCGTGCGGAGATTACAGGTGTGTGTCCCCACACCCAGCAGAAAATTTAATAAAACAAACAAAGCCAAGGCACCTACTTAGATGGGAATTTCAGGTAAGGGAACAATCGCATTTTTAGTATAAGTAGATCCCACTAAGAAAACATCCAGCCCCTGCTGCAGGTTTCTCACAGATAAGGTTACACCTTTATCATCCTGTTTTTCCTTGGCCTCCCTTCCTGCTGCTTTTTCCGTGTCTTAGCATCTTACAGTTGTAGCAGTGAACCATCTTGGCAGCTAAACAATCAAAAACAGAACTGCAGGGCCTGGGGTGGATGGAGCGCTTGCCCAGGATGTGAGACGCCCTCTCTGGAACCAGGAGGAAAAAATCTCAGGTGTGGTGGTGCACGCCTGTAACCCAGCACCTGGGAGGCTGAACCCGAACAACGTGGTGGGATGTCCTAAAAAAGTAACTAGAAAGACAATTGGTTTTTGTCTTTGTTTTTTAATCTGCGTCTTCATCAGAGTCACAGTGGAGTCCACTAATCCTCCTGCGGGAAGAATATTTCCCAGTTGTTTATAGCTTCGTACACCCCTATGCACACTCTCCAGATGGAGAACACGCCCCACGGATACAACGGCCAGTTGTGTTTTGAAGCCAGCAGTAATTTGTGGCGATGGGCTCTTGGTATTCCACAGTTATTAGAGTGGTAAAATTTATAATCTACAGAACTGTGACAATATTCAGCTACTAACTCAATTATTATTTTTATTTGTGTGTGGTTGGAAGCCATGGGAATAAAATTTCCTTCCAACAACGCAGCTGCAATGTTATGTTCCTACAGCTGACCGTAAATAATGGGCACAATACGAGTGCCTGTAAACGAGCTCAGCGTCTTTCTCGGAAAAACTGGGGCTCACTGTCTCCACCCCGACGGGCGCCAGAACGGGAGGTAGGTTCACCTAGCGTCCAGCGTTTCCAGGTGGGCAGCTTCTGCAGAATGAAGCAGGGTCTCCCCGGGCAGGGGGGCAGGGGCATGCTTCTGAGGCGCTGTGGCCTGGAGGAGGAAACGCAGGGGCCCAGGCTGGAAGGCTGGACGTGAGCGGGTGCTGGGCTTTCCGTGGACGTCCCTGTGCCCATCTCCTGGGGCGGTCAGGACAAAAGCCTCAGAGTGAGTGGCTCAAAACAACAGAAATTGCTTCAAGGTGGGTGAAGCTGGGGAAGGAAGTCTGAGAGGCTTTGTGGGACCATCACGGGGTCCACAGCTGGCCCCAGTGAAGGTCACATAGCCCCAGCAGTGGCTGAGAGCCATCTGGCCGCGCACTTCACAGCTGAACCGCGTGGTGTGGGAACTGCGATGCATCTCACAGCGGTGCGGAGGAAGGCAGGCAGACTCCTGCGCCCATGCCCATCCTCTGGTGTCCAGCTGCCACATCCCATGGGGAGGCAGGGACACGCAGTGGCAAGGACCACCTGGACAGAGCCCGCACCTCCACTCTCCCACCAGCCGGGGCTGCCTCTGTGTATGCCGCCCCCATTTTAACGATGGGGCTCTGGAAGCAAAGGCTGTGACACGGCTGGAAGAAACTGTCCTGTGCGGGACACTTAGACCACCTACTTCTATCCCCCTGTGGGACATGGTCATTGCTGCTAAGGGGGAAATAAGTGGAGGCTCAGAGATGCTGAGTCTGGTCCAAGGCTGGGTAGAGCTGGCAAGTGCCGAGCTGGGATTTGAACCCACAGCCATCCCTCTGGCCCCTAGTCTACACCATGACTCTGAGAGATGGGGTGGGTGCTCAGTCAACACGGGAGAGATGGAAAAGATCCCCATGCTTGCCCGGGCCAGTCCATGCCCAGCTCTGAGACACATTCTGAGCTGAATGGGGTGCTCGGGATTTGGGGGTTGAATTAAGCCCCCAGGCATGGTCCTGGGTGACTGGGGTCTAGAGGCGTGACTGGGTCTGGCAGAAGTCATGAGGGCACGGCCTCTGCCATGGGTTAGTGGCTTCATGGGAAGAGACACCGAGCCCTCACTCAATCTCCCCACCACGAGAGGGGGTTCCCCAGGAGAACCCAGACACGCTTGCCTCCTGACCTGGGGTTTCTGACCTCCAGAACTTCGAGGAGCAAATGTCCATCATTTGTTCCCAAGGCACCTTGTTTAGTCAGACCCAGCCAGCTGGGATAGGGACCTCAGGGAAGTCCCCTCTGCTCTCTTGAATCACACGTTCCCTGGAGACAGGACATGGGCCAGGCCTGAAGGCTTGTGTCCAAGCTAAGGCACTGACCCTTGACAAAGTCCAATGAGATGCCACTTCTTGTAGGCCACCGGGCCGTCCACATCTCTCATATTGACAAACAACAAGGTGTGCCCTTGGTGAGTCCCCGGGATGTTACTTCATACCTGAGCTACTGGGCTCTGGGCACCCTGTGGGGATCCGGGGCCCTGGGGATGTTTGGGTGGATGCAGGGAAGGGTGATTTAAACTCAGCTGAAAGCGGCTGATGTTTGGGGGTCACAGTCCTGGCTGTCCACCTCGTATTCCCCCAACCCAGGTATCCGGGCTGCAGCTCCTGTGCACAGGCAGGTGCCTCTCTCGGGTGTCCAGGAAGAGGATGCACATGGGCATCACCACCCGATCACCCGCTCGACTCTCTCAGCTGGGCAGCAATGGGGCTCCTTGAGGGCAGGATTTGAGCAGAAACCTGAGGCCCTTCCTGGCGTGTGGCACACAGTGGAAGTTGGGGGGGGGCAGTGCCCAGGGAGGAGAGAAGGAAAGAGGTGTACAGAGGTGTATGGTGGTAGAGTGCTAACTTCCTCATGCTGGATTCTACCCCCAGCACTACAAAAACCAGCCGACCAAACACATCACCAGGAGCCCCACGCTGTGGCTGCTGTGGGAAAGTTTGGTGGTTTCTCAAGGAATTAAACATGGAGTCGCCAGCCTGGGTTAAAGGACCTGTAATCCCAGCACTGAGGAGCCTGAGGCAGGAGGGTCACTACAAGGCCAAGACCAGGCTGGGCTACATAGTGATTTTAAGGCCAGCTTGGACTGCATAGCAAGACCCTGCCTCCAAATAAATAAGTAAATGAAAATGAACCCGATGCTGGAAAAATAAAAAGGTGATGGAGAAAAGGGGAGAGAAAAATAATTGAAATGTGTTATGTACATGAATAAACTCCCTACAGGGAATGAAGTTATTGTGCACTGCAAATGTGTCCTAATAAAACTAGATAAATACATTTTAAAAATAGACATAGAGCTGTCATTTACCCAACGATTCCACACCCAGATGTCACCCCAAAGGATTAGAAGGATTCATAAGCCAAGTTCACAGTACCCATATTCACAATAGCAAAAGGCGGCAAAGGACTAACTCCATCTGCGAATGTATGGCTAAGTGGGGGGATCTGGCCATGCGATGAAATATTATTCTGCCTTGAAAAAGAGACACCCTGGCCCATGGTGCCATCTGGGTGCACCTCACTTGTATGACACTCAGTGAAAGAAATAGCCAGATAATATAGCAAATCCTATCTGGTTCCAACTATAGGATGTCCCTAGTCCTTGGGTTCAGAGAGAGAAGGGATGGCCATGTCCAGAGACCCAAAGAAGGAACAGAATCTCCCATCAGAGAGATGCAAAGGTTCTCAAGACGCACGGTGGCTGTTGTACAATTCAGTGGCATTCAGTGCTGCAGATTAAAACTCAAAATGGTTAAAATGGCCAGTGTGGTGATATGTGTATTTTACCAGGATTTTTCGTTGTTGCTTGATACCGGGAACAGAATCCATAGCCTTGGGTCTACCAGGCTTCACCATGATTTGAAAACCTCTGAGCCTGTGGGTGATGCAGACAGAGAGGGCCGCATGGCTGCTGAGGGGTCCAGATGCGCCTGCCCTGTCACCTGGGCATCACCCACCCACATGGCTTCCAAGCGGCACCCAGAGCAGTGGGTTGGCTGAGGTTCTAGGGTCTTCAATCATACCACTAGCCCTGGGGCCTCCCTGTGTCCCCTGTCTCCGATGGTGACCAGCGACCCCCTCAGAATCTGGGGTACTTCTTATGCAAGCAGCTTCCAGAGCATCTTTAGCCCTCTGAGCTCAGCATCCAGGGACCCAGTGCCTGAGAGGTGCCCAGTTTCCAGGGATGCCTCAGGGAGCACAGGACCTGCCCACCTCAGAACCTCCTGGGCTCCCTCCAGTAGAGTCCCCACCACGGATGTCAGAGGGGCATCCCAGAATCTACAGCTAGGTATATCAGTCCATCAAGGCGGCACATATTTATAATTCCAGCCACTCAGGAGGCTGAGGCAGGAGGACTGGATGTTCAAGGTCCGCCTGGGTAACTTAGCTAGATGTCTCAGGACAAAATACAAAGGGCTGGGGATGTAGTGTGGAGCCAGAGCACTAACCCATCGTGTGCAAAGCCCTGGGTTCCATCCCCAGCATCACACACACACACACACACACACACACACACACACACACACGTGCCTGGGTGACACACACTGCCTTCTCCATTCACCTTCTGTGGGTGAGGCTCCCTCCGCCTCTGTGGAAATGCTGGGCCCCTGCCAGCACTGCCTTCCTCTCCTCCTTCGCCTGGTCCTCGTGGGCTATAGGACTCTTCCCTCCCCTCCCCGCTGCCCCAGCCAGCTCTGTAAGAGCCCAGTGGTCTGTTTCACTCGACCCGCCTGAGCCACCTCGACATCTCAGGCTCTGGGTTCTTCTTGCTCAAGCCGTGCTTTGGGCTGCTGAGCGCGAGGGCTCAGTTCCTGCTGCTCCAAGGATAAGGGGCAAAGGTAGGGGTCTGGACCATAGACCATAGGTGTCAGGGAATGGAGACTCATCAGGAAGCAGACGCCAGGCTGGGAGCAGCTCTGCTCCTGGGCCGCTAGGGGGAGACCTTGGCTGCCCAGCCTGTGCTGGGCTAAGGTGGCCAGGTGCAGCTGTGTGACCCACGCGGAGGGGCAGTGTGTGTGTGCATGGGCACATGTGCACCCCACAGGCAGAGGCGGGCAGGGGCGATGGCCTAAGCCCTGCATCCTGGCTTCCCAGGAGGGAGGAGGTCGGTTTCCCCGCAGCAAGGGGAGACAACATGGAGGTGTCACCCAGGGAGCAGTGCATACGAACCACAGTGGGGTCCATAGAGGACCCATTTAGGGGGCTCTGAGGGTGCTTTTTATGGAAAGGAACCCTATAAAAAAAGAACCCTATAAACATAGGGCTTATAAACAAGGCATCCTTATTGCAGGTGAGAAACGGAGACCCAAAGAACCTAAAGGGCCGGAGCTAGGATTCGAACCCAGGAAGGAGGAGCTGGAATGGGATGCGCAGTTCCAAGGAGCCTGCATTCTAGGACGGAGGCTGCCTTGTGGCACAGCCAGCTGACTGGGGCAGCCCTTGGAGCCTGGAAGATGAGCTGTAGATTCCAGCTGTGTCGCCTGCCAAGTGGAGCATCCTCAGTGATGTCACTTCCGTCCTGGAAGATGGAACTAATGTCACCTACCTGCCATTTAACTGGCAAAAGGGGACTCGAGGACCCACGATAGGAGTTTGGCATGTGGCCACAGGGCCTTTGGATATACCCTGTGTGTGCTGAGGACAGCGTTATAGTTCCTGTTCCTCTCTCCATCCACTATTCTCCTCTTCCCCCTGCTGCAGGGCCAGCATTAGCTATGGGTGACTCAGTGGCCTCCAGGTTCCTATGGCCAGAAGGATCCTCTGCTGAGCTTAATGGTCTCCTGTCACGTCTTGATCCTTTTCCAGTAAGGGGCCTGCATGTTCACTTCTCCCTGCAGGTGCTGCAGAATTGTCCCATCATTCCCAGCTGCAGCAGGGCAGGAGGCAGAAGAGAGTCGAGCAGGGGAGACACTGAAGCCTGGACACACGGCAGACGCCCATTCTGAGCCCCAGAGCTGCTCCCGCCCTGGGGCACAGAGCCTCCTGCCTTGGGCCCTTTTGGCTTCTCGGTGTCAGTTTCTCCCCCTAAAATGGGGCCATACGCTAAGACCCCTGCATTCCAGCCCCAGGGCCCCTTTCCCCGGAGGTTAGCGATCCCCGAAGCAGGGCTTCCCTTAGGCTGCCTGACACCCCCACCCCACCCCTCGCCTGCAGCCTGCAAAGCGTCTGCACCTCGCATGTGCCTGCACTCCCCTGAACCCGACCTGAAGGTGGCACCACCGGAGGAGGCCTCCCGCTTCAGTGCAGAAGTCTCTGTGCCCTGCTCCTGCTCGGGGTCAGTGGCTCTGCCATCACATGGACGTCTCAGGTGACCCAAGCCAGGACCGAGTGTGATCTTCCGCCTGCATCTCTTGTCCTTGTCCTTGATTCCTGGCCTCCGGGCTGTCCCGTGTGCCCAGCTGGGGTGAATGACCTTCCGGGCAGGAGCATTCTGGGAACAGGCCGTGTCCTGACCAGCAGAGCAGGCGCCTCACTGGGCCTCTTCAGGTGGACCCTGACAAGGTCCCGTCAGGGTCCACCGAGGGGGCTTCCCAAACAGGGACACTGTCACACCCCACCCCCAGCAACCTGTGAAAGTCACTGGGCAGGACAGACCGAGAGCTGGTCCACGCTCCCTGCAGTCCGTGAGGCTGTATCCCCCAACCCAACTTTCGCTGTTTGGAGAATTCACTCCAGGCCAGCAATGTTTGCTGAGGCACTGAGCGAACGTCACAGGAGCAGCACCACTGTGGCTGGGGCAGCCCCGCCCACCTGCCCTGGCCCCGCCCACCACCCTCGGCCCCGCCCCCTTCTCCGGAGGTGTGCGGCGCGGCTGCCACTCCCCACCCCACAACCCGGCTTCAGGGGCTTTCTTTGACTGAGCTTCTGCCCTTCAGAGCAGAGCAAGAACAAGACCTGCTGTCCGAAGGGACATTTTCCTTGTTGCTACTCTCCCACATTTTTGTTTCTTGACAAAGTTTTGCTAAATAGCCCAAACTGGTCTCAAACTTGAGATCCTCCCGCCTCGGCCTCCCAGAGTGCTGGGGTCACAGGTGTGTAGCACCATGCCCAGCGTGACGTCCACTCTTGAACTGGCCCTACATAGACCAGATTCCTGGGCACTATGCCCTCTGCCAACCTCCCCATCGCTAGAGCTGGGTCCCTACTCCCTGCTCTGATTTGCTCCTCCTGTCTCTCTCATTCCTTCCCTTCCTCCTTTCCTCCTTTCCTTTCTTTCTATTATTTATTTTTTCTTTCAGCAACCACTTCTTTAACATCCCTGCCGTGCCATCCTGTGGGAGCTTTTACTCCTGAATTTCAAGGCTCCCTCTGCCATCTCTTACGGAGGTATCTGTTCCTTTTCCTCTCTTCTCTCTGTGACCAACCCCAGCCATAGAGAGCTCAGACTGCCTGCAGCCACCTGGACACTCGCCACGAGGCCACAGTCCGGCTTCGGTCCAGATGCGTCCGTGCAATGTAAATCCAGGGCTCTTTCTCTGCTTCAATTGGGCTTGGAACCCTTGGGACCATGAGACAGAAGCACCCAGGATGGAGGCAGCCAGGGACCTTCCCCAGAACCCCAAGCCACTGGTTTCGGGGCCTTCACAGCCCCTCTGGGTGTGAGAGGCCCTGCGTGGCCTTTGGTTCAGCTGCAGTCCAAGCATCCTGGTGCACCCACAGACCTACACTGCTGGGTTCGCTCTCTTCTTTCTCCAGCAGCAGGAATCTATGACTGGACGCCCCTGATTTTGGAGCACCCCACCTGTGGGGAGTCCTAAGAGTGAGCCCACATCTTCCTTTCTAACAAGACTTTCTAACAAGTCTACCTTGGATCCATGCCCCCAAGCTCAAAGCCCCAGACCCAGGGTGCTCCATGTCACCTCCCAGGAGAGCTGCCCTCAGGCCCCTCTTCTGGGGGTCCGGTGATTCATGTGCACCATCCCTGCTTGGCCTTGCCTGCTCCCCAGGCAAGGGCGCCTTGGGATACGATCATAGCTGTAAGGTAAAGGTGTCTCAGGGGAGGGCTGGAGAGGTCCCTACGGTGCTCCCTGGGTGGAGGGGACAGGTGATGTTGGTAGTTGTTGGGGCCAAGGCAGGGGGAATCTGATTGCAATGGGGGAGCAGCTGCAGGCGGCATGCATGGCCCCTCCTCCGGCCCCCAGGGCCACCTGTGTGGCCACAGGTATGGTGCACGTGTCATTCCCGGCCCCACAGCAAGCCTGGGCTCCCACTCACTGACCTCAGTTACTGCAGCAGTGTGAATGCGACCCCAAAAGTCCACACTCTGGCAACTGAATCCCCAGCTTCATGTACCCACTGTGAAAGGGCCCTTTGAAGGTAACTGGGATTAGAGGAGGTCAGGAGGGTGACCCCAGAGGAGGAGCGACCCGACCTGGCACCCTGTCTCTGTCTCCCTCTGCTTCACGGTGCCCCGGAAGGAAGGTCCTCGCCAAATTCCAGCACTGTGCTCTGTGGCTCCCATCCTCCAGAAGCCGGAGAGGTGGAAACTTGGATTCTTTCTAAATCCCTCGGCCCCCATGTTTCCTTATCACAGCAGAACACAGTAAGACAGCCGCTGGCCGCGGAAGAGTCCTTGCTTGTTAAAACAGGGTCCCAGAGATAGGACCAGCC